CCCCAAAACCCCAAAACCCCAAAACCCCAAAACCCCTTTTGATCATTCTGTGTTGAAAATTTCCATAGACTCAAAATGAAAAACTAAATTTAAGAGAAATTTAGATTTACTTAAGGTGAAAGGAGACCACTTCCAGGGACTCATTTTACTAGAAAATTTGTTGTAGATAAATTAGAATATTTATTTCTGAGAATTCTGCATTTTGTACTCTTTGCTCACTTTTTGGGCTGGAGTAAGGTTTTGTTTGTGATATTTTAGTTGGTCCAAGTAAGGCTCTTCGTTCTGTGGTATTTCCTCCTCCTCTATTTTTTGGTTTTTTAATAGATCTAAACCAACACAAGAGAACTTTTGTTCTACTTGCTTCATCGTCAGACCTCTGAACCTAGGAATATTTATAGTTTCATCTTCCTCTTTGAAGATATATGTAGATTTCTTAGAATCATGATGTAGCTTAAGAATTTTAATCTCTTTATTCACCATACTTAAGGCTTTCGGATCAAAATTATAGGGTGAAACTTCACTACTTTTGAGGTAATTTGGATCAGCATTAGAGCTCAGATTTCCCTTGATATGTCCAAACATCTTGTCATCTACTACCTCATTCGAACTTGTGGTGATATCTATTTTGTTCTCTTCTTTTACAGACTTCTTTTCTTCCTCATTTACCACTGAAAGGTTTGTCTCTGACCTAGGTTCAGTGTCTAAAGGAGCGGTAAACTCGAAACTTGGTGAATGGTTTTCAGACCAGTTCGAATCATTATTATTATCAGCAATGCTGTGGTTCTGAAAGGACTCTGGCTCTTCTTGCCTTTCTCTTTCTAGTTCTTCCTCTCTTCTTTGGCGTTCTTCTTCTCTTTTGTTAGCAAATTCTACTTCTACATGTTTAAGGTCGGTTATTAAGGTTTGAACGAATAATTTCTTATAATAAAATCTAATGTGATATCGAGCTTTATCTTTTCTCTTATTTATAAAATTCTTGAATGCTCTTTGAATGGTCAGGATAGATTTCATATGGTCACGTGCGAAGATTCTCAATTGGACTTGTTTACGTTCCTTCTTCTTCAAGCCAAACTTGAGCATGGCATCTGAGATAATTCGGATGGATCTTTTAACTTTGAAAATGTTCAATTCCTTTCTTAATTTTCTATCAATTTTGTCATCTTCGAAGAAGTCATAAGTATTCTTTCTTCGCCGTAATGCCTTTTTCTCTCTTCTAGATTTCTTTTCAGAATGGAGTTCTGAGAGCAAGCATTTTCTCGTGATGCTACCGTGAGAGTTATATTCGCAACTATCATTGCTTGAGAAATAGTCTCCTTGAAGAAGGTCAATTGTTTCCTGGAGTATCTTCTTATTCTTTGATGATATCTCAATTGAAGGAGCTATTATTCCCTTCTGTTCTAGCTCTTTCTGTTTGATTTTGCTGACAAGGTTCTTGAACTTGTTTATCCTATTGGGTCTGGGAGGCTTATCTGACATTTATAACTTATTTATGTTAAAATTTGAAGGGGTTTTGGGGTTTTGGGGTTTTGGGGTTTTGGGGTTTTGGGG